CTCAAAGTTATCAACACACTGTAATAAAATTTCAACAGTAATAGTAGGACACTTTAAAAACACTTTCTGAATGCATTCATAAGATATAGATAGGGAAATGTGATAATAGTCGACATCTTGGTTATATCACTCCAAAATTAATAATAATAATAATTCGAATCGATAACATCAACTTCCCAATGATTCAATTGTTGTGACTTTAAGTCCGGCTAGTTATTACGTGATTTATTCGTCAATCGAAATACAACTTATTCAATCTTAGTATTGTGCTAAACCAATGACGTTCGAGCGGTCTGAGCAGCCTAGCGTCCTTATTGATCCTTTGTTCACTTGGTCCTGCCAATTGAGTCCAGAATGCCAATAACAGCCTCCACTATGCGAATCATTTATTTCAAACATACCTGGTTTATATACCAACCAAACAGACCGCAACGCACCATAAAATAGAAAATAACATTTATACAAAATCAAGTCAAAAAGTGGCTGTGATTGTGAGAGACTGTAATTAATAAACTGAGTCTAATTTAGGAACAGTAAATCGTATCATGATAATCTATAGGTCGAAATGACGCTTATAATAAAAGGAATATAAATATACGTAATCTAGTTACTGAATACAATAAGAACATATATACAGAATATGGGTCCATTAATAGACCTCAAAAGTTACCCATGGTTTAATCTTCACTAGGACATTACATTAATGTTTAAATATGGATAGGTCTTATTTCTTACCATATATCTAAATTATTACTATTATTATTGAACATTTGAAAGTACCAATTTAATTATAATTCAATTATCCGTATATTTCAGGCATGTACATACAAAAATAAACATATTTACGTGAAGAAAAAAGAAAAACACATCGAAATGATAATCATCTCAATAAAAATGTAACCAGTACAGAATAGAAAAGACAAAACAACAACAATTTTTACAACTAAAATATACATTTGTAGTGTAGCGTCGAGTCGCGTTTGACTATGAACACCACTACAAGGAGGTTGCGTACCAGAAATCAGAAGGCGGTTGCAGGTTGTAACGAGGTATATTCGTTGGCGATCTCGTGGTATCGAAAGAATACCGAGATTGTGCCAAAGAAATACAAGAGGAATCAGTGGGCGAACGTAAGAACGTACAAGGTCACAATCAACGGAAGGATAATAGAAGAAAAATGGATGTTTTTAGTATAGTTAAACAAACAAGTACAGTAAAACAGTCACTGGTACAATTGGTTATGATAATAATTGTTTCCATTAAACCAATCGCGTTCTCTTGATAAAAGTAGGTCACTACACATTCATAGTAATACATCAATAATATTGGTGAAAAAAATACGAAGTTAATCACTTGTCTCTTTTATTCTCCATGATGTTCTATAATTATAGAAAACAAATGTATAAGCTGTCAAATTAAATCAATGTAACGCTTGATCAAATGTTGCCTAACAACTATCAACGCTTAGCTGATACGCTACAACGATAATAGTTATCTTGTTGAGAACAGTTGAGAGTCATTTCAAGGACCTCGTTTTACATTAGTTGACACCTATCCATAAGAGATATCTGTCAAATTGAAGGGATTGATTCTTTAAATGAGATTAAAATCTGTATCACCCTATGTCATATTTGGAAATGTTATAGCTGAGCAGTTTAAATCATAAACAACATCTCATAGAACTGAGATATTCACACATGATTGATCACTGAATACTTATAATGTCATGTTTGTCTAGTTTATAATGTTGATTAACTTTTATCGGTTAGAACACAATCCCTCCAAGTTATAGGGATCATTTTTTTCTAAAATGTTAAATTCAACTGACAGTAAATGTAGTCGAAAAAATAATAAATCAATAAATAATGTTTTGATTACTATGCCGACGAATGTTCATGTTTTGACAGAGCTTCATATACTTATAATTTAGCTGTAGTCTTGCACATAATTAGTAAAAAGCCCTAAACCTACGTTTTGCCGCTAGATGCTACTTATTAAAACTATAAATTTAAAACCATAAAGGAGTTCGTGTTTCTCATAAGATTCAAACCACCGTGAAAGTTGAAATGTTTCTACTGAGCTATTCGAGCTTCTATTAATCAAGTTGTAGATCGACAACATTCAAAGTGACTTGACCACACAGTACATTATTTTTGATGTTAGATAGAGAGTGATAATCGACAAGAAGTTCATCAATCTCAAACTAGGTTAGATGCCCTCTGAATGGCTCAATGTTCATGTAACACAAGATGACATATATTAGAATTCTAATGGGAGAGATAGTTCTTTCAACAATGAATTTAAATCTTATTAAACTGTACCATCAGAGAATGACCTGGGATCTGTCAAACTAAACTGACCATCTAACCAAATAATATTTTTTTATTGACAATATGTTCAATGTTGTTTAATACTGAAGAAATGAATGTAATCTTGTGCAACTATATATCTAATAACCAGTACATTTTTTAGACTGTTTCTATTATTATGTAATTTAAAAGTAAACTCCAACCTCAATGAAACCAGTACATTATTTATTTGACCTATTGTGTGACCTATTATAACCCCATATACTACAACTTCTAGACCTACAGTTTATTATAAACAATTCGTACCATTATATTTATCTTAGGGTGTTTATTTGTTTATGTAACATTTCGTTATTTTATTTGTCAATTTGATATTTTGTTAGTTCAAGTCACAACTACTCAGCATCTTATCTTTAAAAAAAAAGGTTCAACGGTAGCTTATAACCGAAATTTATGAAAACAACGTTAATTTAGTCAATACAATTCACTCAATACTGAATGTTAGATAACACCACAGTGTTTACTCTTCGATAATCAATTATTGTTACTGATACATTTTCGTTGATGTACTTACATCTAGTTGTCTACATGTATTATATAATTCGAAGGAATTCAAAATAAATATCACTTAGACTTTTTATGCTTTTAAACTGTACTTAAGAGAGCCACAATAGTAAATAAGTAACATACATAATGAGGGTTTCATTGATTTTTAATTTTATAATATTGATCAGAGTGGCTTCCAGAAAACTAGCATTAACAATAAAATACGTTTGTAGGCTGGTTACGAATCGGTTGACAGAATTCAGTCAGTACTAAGAAGTAGACATATATTGCATTCATTGACCAATACGAGTCAATTAATCCTACATAAGGTCGGTAGCAGTACATATAGTTCAGGGCTGACATCCCAAGGAGTAACTCTGAAGGGCGAGCGTTTGAATCCTACAGAGAACACCAGTCTCCTGAACATTCCAGATCCACCTTGCTAACATGTGGTAGTTAACCCGAAAGGTAAGTTTGAAGTTCTCTCTACAGATTTTATTCAACCGCTTGGCACCAGTGAATTTGGTTCTTGATGTTTTGTATGAAAAATCAAGAGAGGGGGTTATCTAAACCAACTCTGCAATAGGCGTGAAAAAATATTGAAAAAAGTGACAAATTAATGATCTTAAATGAAACCTAGTTCTGAAAAACCTTCTGTTGTGAACTTCTATGAAAATCACACGGGAATTCAGTGTTCTGACTGATGTCATAGCAAAAAGTACACACAGTACACATGGAAAAGTGGTTTGTATAACCGATACTCTGAGGAATAATAGAATAAGACTAAATCATCCATTCATTGTGTTTGAATAAACTTAAGTTAAATAAAAGCCACTTTCAGATCAACGTGATCCGTTAAAATGTTGATGTCTACAATAGGTTTTGTAACAGTTGTCATGTTTATCAAGTCCTTCTTGGTCACTAATATGTTTTTTATTTTGATACCAATTCTTATTACATAACGACGTTAGCTGGTGAACTATTGGATAACGAAGAAACACAAACGGTATTTGTTTTAATCTTTCTTAGGGAATCATCAGAAGCACCATGTTCACAATGAATATGAATCTATTACGTCTTCAGTTATCATTACGAATATTAATATATTGAAACAACTGTTTTAGAATTCAGCTACCCATCTTCACTTCATTCGACCTAATATCAGATCGGTCACTATTTTTATTCAACTTTGTTTCCATGAGTTGTTTATTGTTTACAGTTGATTGATTACTGAGTAGTGATTAATGTCTCGTTTGTCTAGTCTTTTAGTTCTGATCGGGATTGATCAATCACACTGTAATGCAGCAACTAGTTTAAATGACTCGACATCGCATACAATACTTTGAGACGTTAGGCGGTTGGAGGTAATTGGCAAAAAACTACACTCAACAAAGAGGGAATTGATGCTCTCTATATGATTCGAAATCCGTTCACTCAAATTCACAGTCTGAGACGTAATCAATAACTTGTTCAGACTGCAAATGACCTCATATAGGTTTCTTGTCAATCAATCAACCGTTATTGTCTTCTTTGAAAACCGTCAAATCTCATTGCTTCTCTAGTTGATAACATTCAGTAATGAAAGCTACTATGAACTTAATTTGGACCAAACCATCCAGCTCAGAGAACAAAACACCACCAAAATCATCCACCTGAGCTACAAATCTTCTCCACCATCTCAGATATTAATTTACAATTCACTAGTATATGATTGTTTGATTTAATACTGCACATTAGTTAACGCGGTATTTAGAAACTTACTCTGTTAACGATTCTAAATTCCATATGCTATAATTTTGGGAAGATAAGTTTGCTTAGTTATTCCTCTGGACTGTTTGTTTAAACCTATGACTGTAGGAGTGGATGTGTGTCTCCTATGCACGAACCTAGTATCCCATAACGTAAAAATTAACATATTATCGAATTGTCTTGGATCCTGATGCGTTTGAGCACATCACTAAACAGCGAATGCGAATGACTGATTTACAATAGTAAATGCGAGAACGTACGGAAAGCGTATTGATTTTATGATTTTAATAGACTGTTCAAGGTTTCATATATAGTTCTAACTGATATAGTTCATGATTAGGCATAGAAGTTAAGATGTACACAAGACCAAAACAACTCATAACACTGAAAAACATTACATTGAAACATCATTTTATTACGTATTTCTGTGGATTCTCACAATTATTTCATTCCCGTACTTTATTTTATTTTATTTCAATACGTGTAAAAAAATTTAAAGAAATACTGTACAATCAGGGGTATGATGCCAATTATTAACCACCCTTCTTCCTTAAACAAAAAGAGACCAATAATCACAAACAATTAGCCATTTCAAGTATCGCATAGCCAAGAAGAGTAATCATATACAATTTTATGTTGGAACACATCGACCAAATCATCAGAAGCACAATGCAAGGTAGGCAGCAAACTTCGTATACCTTTCGATTGTAAATTGACTGACTGATAGACATGACGGTTTGGATCGAAAAATTCCAACAAATCTGGTTCAGGTTCATCCTAAAAAGTAGTAATGATAATTATATCATTATTATTACCATGATAAGAGTGAAAGTAATAATAATAAACAGCCAAAAACATCTTTCTTCATTTTGATGAAACTTTGGAGTAGTAAAATGAGAAGTGTGCAAACCCTGGAGACACTACTTTAAAAAATGTATATAATAATATAGATGAGATCATATTTAAAGATAACATTTACAATACAATGATGGCTTATAAATTGTTTCGTTTCGGTTTAGAACACTGCAGCAGTGTAACATATTCAAGACCTCAGGATTATCCTCCGATCTTGTGTCAAATACAACGTACTCAAAATACCTCGTTGGAACCCAAAATAATCGACATACATAAATCCAGTTATATTTATAATTTAAGATCATTAATTGTTCAAGATTGATGACATTCAAAACGCAAAGGAAGTAGGTGTATAAAATTAATGTAGGAACGTGATAAACCAATCAGATTTGAGACAACAATTATTGGATTTTTGCCCGAAATCCAAGACGCAATGTATGTATATAAACCTGAGTAAAACCCATTAATGCTGAATTACTAAGGCACTTAGAATTCACAAATATGGGACAACTAATCACTATGATCTAAAATTATGAATTTTCCGCAGTAAATTAAAGGTTATTTGTACTTACAATCAAAGAATTAGCTGCATAAGTATTTATCCATGTGATTACACATGATTCTCTTGTGTTCTATCATTACTCATAGGTCCTAATCTAAGCCCCAACCTTAAGCTGTATTCTTAACTCTTAACCTCAAATTCTAATTCCAACCCTTTCTAGGATTTTATTTAATAAATTATTCGCTCATAACACCTCCGTTCTGACTGGCTAGAAATCGGCGTGCTCTTTTAAGGTTATTTCAAGGACGCTGAGGATCACCAGTAAAGTATTCTTTCTCCTGGTAAAAAATATTTCATTAATTTTAGAAATTGTTTCATATACAACCATCACCAGGATGTGTTGAAAATGGAGAAATACGAAATGATGAACTAATGATTATATTATACAACGTTCAAGCATTAGGTAGCTGGTTCGAAATTCATTTCATCTGATGAAGTTTTGGCAACTGTGTGGTCAGGCTAACCACCAAGTACAAAAACCCACACTAAATTCTCCCGAAACTAAATAGAACTGCTATGATTCAAGAGGATGGCCTAGTAAAAATCTAGTTTATAACTTGAAATATTTGAAGTTGTTATAATTCTCTCTTACGGTTATAACCCAGCTATTCCTATTGATTAGTATTCTCGGACACCGATTCGCTCGACAAGTCCCCAAATCAGAACACGGTTGAACAGGAAAAGAGATTATATTCCAAATAACAAGGTTAGATGGAAGTAAGTAAGCACAATAGGGAAAACGTTAGTATATTTATAGTTTTTCACATGAGATTTCTAGTGTTCACTAAGTATTGACTAACACTGATTGGATAAGAATTAGTCAATCAGCGTGCACCAAAGCAATCGTGCATTGAGCATGCTTTAATCCAGTCTGTCCCGCTAACAGAAGTTAAACACAATTCTCTGAGTTTTACCGTAATCCTGTAGAACAAAATTGAGAAGAATCCAAATGACCGGAAGCTTAAGTAAGTTACATACATAAATATTCCATTTGAAAAAGTGATAATTTTTTCAAATAACCTGGGTGTCATGTTTTTTTATTTACCAGGGAGATGGTAATAACTAATATATTTCCGAAAATCTAGTGTTATACATACAAGGATGCCTGACTGACTGGCTAACATAGCATTAATTAGTAGAGAAGCGTTACAAAATCGGTTACAGTACCTATATTTACCTACTTATAGTTGACAAACATACAGGCAGAAAAGGGTGATTTGACAATGATAAAAATATTGACATTTGAGTCATTGGATGTGGGGAGGGGAGTTTAGTTAAGAAATAGAAAATATAAGCACTTAGTTATTTCATTGGGTAGTTAAGTTAGTCATAATCAGTGCAATATTTGCAACAACTATAACATTGCTCCGAAATGTCACGATACAGCAGGCCACAAAAAACGAAAGGAGAAACCATAATTTATGGACGACCTTTGAGCGATGCTAAAGTGACCTTGGGAATGTCCACCTACTTGATAGGGCTAAATGAGTGTTATAAACCAGTGTGAAGAATCAGGATTATGGTTTACAGTTGATGATGAGTGTTAGGAATCCGATTTAGCGTTTTCATCACGAAATGAAAAATAAAATGTCAAAACGTTATTTAGCCAAGTGGATGAATGAATTTCGCGCCAAAATCCAAGACCTGTTATCCTTAACCTGATTGGGTCGTCCATAAATTATAGTCTAGCTGAATATGATTTCAAAAAACAGAAGACGATTTTAAGGATAAAAAATTATGAAATAACATTAAAAACAAGAATCTGTAGGAAGCTAAAGAATGAATGTATCTATCTCTATAAGATAAATTGTTACTATAGTGGCTGAAAATCTTTTTCAACTATCGATTAGGATTATCGCACAGACATCAACCAGGTGGTCTGTACCTCTCCAAACAGTTTTATCGGATCTAATATGCTTACAGATGGATTTTCTAAACACACTCCTAAACTACCGTACGCAGAGGCTTGATATAGTTATAGTCAAAACGGGCAAACTATGAACAGCCGACAAATTATACCTGTTTCAAAAACACGAATTAGTACAACTAATACGAAAATGTGAAATGGAACAGTTTATTAGCGACCAGTAGTATGAACACGAAATAAAACAATGGAAAAATTAGTCATGTTTATGAAAAAGGTACAATTTTGTGATTGTTAGTCTAATAAAGAATGGTTAGTCCGAGATCACATTGAGTCTAAGTGGCGGGTTTTTAATTGGGATATTATTTGTTGATTCGTTCCTATGGATCGCAGTTGACATTTCTTTCCAAAACATCCACTACTTCCGCAGTTGGTAATCATCGTTGTTTAACTATCTCATTCTACGACCAAACAAAAATTTCGTATATTCCGGATAATCCTTTCGGTTGTGATCTTCATCTACAAAATCTTTATTTGTCCGTTGATTTCGTAGTTTGTCTGTTTAATAATAGGTCTTGGTGACTGATTTTTCGTTGCAATAACATCACTGATAAGGACTAAAACATTTGGTTAAGTCTCTGCTGTTGTGTCCCGATAAGAATAATGAATGGTAATTTTTGGGATCCAATTATGGACCAATATTATGAGTATATTTTTATCGTATAATTGTTATGCAACTAAACTGTTCATATTCATACCCCTCTTATTATGAGCTTTATGTTGACCTATGAACTATTATTGTACGATTTACCACTCATGAATTATTCCCTATCTGTTAATCGCTACCTCCTTCATTCACAGCCACTTCCGGCTAATTATTGTACAAATGTTATTTTCTATTTTATTGGTACCTTGTGGTCGGGTTGATTGGTATATAAACAGAGTATGCTTGTAATACAATGATTCATATCTCAGGGGCTTAGACTTGCGTTCTGGACTCAACTGGCTGAGCTAGACAGCGAAGCAGGGCCAATCGGGACTCTAGGTCGTTCGTACGTGTTTTACGTGTCATTGATCCGATCGATAAATACACTGCTTTCTAATCTTTCAGTCAAGGACAATAATTGGCACGGGATAAAAATCGATCCAAGTTCAAGTCACAACATCTGCAAATTTAGCCATTTAAATTTTACTTGGAGAACAGCTAAATACTCATGTTTTCCCTTTTACTTATTGAACAAAACTCGCTAATCATGCTTGATTGTAAGAGATACAACCAAAGGATTTTAAAGGTTCGTAAGTAATAGGATAGTGGTAACTACATATGAGGTATCTATTCTAAACCAATAAATACGTTAGGAGTAAACTGAATCCTGAAGATTTCGCGTCAAGTGGACTATCGCTAAATGATCAAAATAAGGTAAGTGCATGACTACAAGAACCGACATTTCTGAATCAAAAAAGGATACGAGATCTCTGATAATCCGTATTTCTTTGCAAAGACTACTTAGCAAGTGCATGATTCTGACATGTGCTTTATGTACATGGAAGTGGACACAATCAAGTCTGTAAACAATGTGCCTGGTAGGAAATATAATCGAGTGCTTACTATCAAAATGTAGGGACGGAAATTGTAACCGTCCGCCTACATAAATGATATCGTCTAACTTAAATTAAATTCCCGACCGTAGCTGCTACCCTGATGCGGTGGTCGGGCTTGCCTGTCGTGATGACCCAACCGAGCTATATTGGCTGGAACATATGATTCTGTAGGTTCTGTCATGCCAGGCAGGTTGATTGGAGGACGGTGAGACTAAAAGCAGCAACTCAAGGTCTGAGGGCGAAGTCGTACTGCTGACTGTAGAGGGCTGTGACAGCAGCAAGGTGTTACCTTCGGACAACCAGTATCTGCAGTGATGCTGCCTTCTCACAAGGAAGGAAGGGGTTAGAAAAGGTTGACCCTAAAAATGTCACACCTCACCTTACCTCATGGATTTCCGTCTCCGGCGGTAAGGCCCTTTGAAGAACGGAGCTAACACATTAAAAGCCTCCCACGAAAAGGCCGTGCGCAACCGGCCTCAAGTAGTTGTTCCTTGTGCTCTGCAGTCACACTTCTAGGTTGTTAAGACCAACATTAATCCACCTTTATTTACAGGTTCCTCAAGAAATACCCTTCCATGGTGTGTGCAGCCGGGAAGTGACACCAGCCCTCATACCTGTAACAACACGCGAGACCTAGTTGGTCACATTCAAATCCCTCCTACACCTCCTAATAAATCTCTTATCTCCACGACTAACCGTTCTCACGTTCCTTTATCACCTCGCACCGCTAGGGCAAACGATTCGAGTACGCGGAACGTTATTCCCGATCTCCTGGAACAACGCTCCAAACTACACGTAGGAGCTTTTAACGTCTAAACACTGTGCCAAATAGGACAACAGGCTTCCTTAGCCAAGAAACTAGAATCTCGAGCCATCGACGTGTGCTGCGTCTCCGAAACGCGCATACAGGATTCGAGTAGCGTCATTCGTTTGACCTCACTATGTAAAAATAAAGAACCAACTCGATTCAAACTTCGTGTACCTGGAAGCCCTGATTCTGCTTCTTATGGCCTCACCGGCGTAGGTATAGCATTGAGTCCTAGGGCAGAACTAGCTCTCTTAGAGTGGATCCCAGTAGACAGTCATTTGTGCGCTGTCCTACTAAACGGAACAGTAAGGACTCAGAGAGACAGAGACACTAGTCGTTGCCTCTTCGTCGACTCTGCTTATTCTCCTACTGACTGCAGCTCAGATGATGTAAAAGATGAATTTTACAGAAAGCTCTCCGACCTCCGAAAAGCTAGACGCTCGGATGTAGTAATAGTGGCTAGTGACTTTAATGCTCAAGTAGGTAAACTAAGCGAAAGCGAAAGACACCTGGGTGGACCTTGTAGTGTCGTGGCCCAAAGAACAGATAATGGTAACCGTCTGTTACAGCTATGCTCAGATAACTGCCTGTTTCTAGCAAATACTAACTTTAAGCATAAGGAAAAACATATTTTGATATGGCGACCCCCTAATTCGTACCAACGTTGGACCCAAATAGATCACATCGCTATCAGCCACCGATGGAGGGGTTCGATAGAAGACTATCGCCCATTCTGGAGCACATGCTTAGATTCAGATCATGCTCTAATGCGAGCGCGTATTTGCTTGAGTCTTACTGGACGTAGGAAAGACACTGTAAGGAAACCTCTTAGGGTCCAGGAGATTGGATCGACGGGCAGAACACTTAAGGGGTCAGTTCAACTGGCCTTCAGCCACACTTTGGTTTCCCACGATCTCCAGTCAACCTGAATGGCAAGTTAATTTAGGTCCTCCGAATCTTTACGAAGTTGAAAAAGCTATAGGAAATCTGAAGTGAGGGAGAGCAGCAGGCCCTGACAGGTTTACTCCTGAGATTTTTAAGGATGGTGGTCCAGTATTAGCAATGAGATTAACCGAGGTCTCAGGTAGAATTTTGGAACTGGACGTAATCCTATCTGATTGGTCTCAATCACTGATTGCGCCGGTCTATAGGAAAGGACAAAAGTCCTCTTGTGACAATCACAGAGGAATCAGTTTGACTAATATAGTGTCTAAAACATTAGCTTCAATAATACATCGACGCCTAACTAAAGCTCGTGAAAAGCAGACTAGAGAAAACCAGGCTGGTTTTCGACCTGGAGGTGGTTGTATAGACCACATATTCACACTACGTCAGGTTTTAGAACACAAACACACGTTCAGACGCCCCACAATGGTAGTATTTCTCGACCTTAAGGCGGTACTTGACTCTGTTGATCGTGAGATCCTATGGTGATGTTTGTCACTGAAACGAGTACCAAAGAAGTACATTAACCTTGTAAAGGCTCTCTACTCGAACACAACTGGTCGAGTGAGAGCTTATGGCGAACTGTCATCAGAATTGATCACCTCAAGTGGTGTTCGTCAGGGCTGTCCACTCTCTCCATTTTTGTTTAACTTTGTCGTTGATGTACTTTTAGAGATAACAATTTCCTCACCTAAATTTTCAGGGGTTGAACTTCTACCGAGAGATTCACTTTTTGACATAGAATATGTCGATGATATAGTTCTATTTGGTGAAGATACTGACAAAATGCAGTCTTCTGACCACTCTAAGCAACAATGCAAGCATGTTCGGCATGCGATTCTCCTCCTCGAAATGCAATATGTTGCTTTGACACCCGAACTAATGATAGGGAATGAAGGAACTGAGCGTGTCGACCGCTTCACTTATCTGGGAAGTCTCATCAGCCCTTGTGGTCTGGTGTGTGACGAAATCTCAGCACAGATACAGAAGGCTTGACTAGCTTTTGCCAACTTGCGTCATTTATGGCGTAGGCGAGATATCCGTCTATCAACCAAAGGACGTGTTTACTGGGCAGCAGTTCGTTCCGTCCTACTTTATGGCAGTGAAACATGGCCAGTAAGAGTAGATGATATTCGTAGGTTACTAGTATTTGATCATAGGTGTCTTCGAAATATTGCTCGTATATCCTGGGACCATCGAGTAAGTAATGCAGTTGTTAGGAAACGGGCACTAGGTAAAGATGGCAAATCAATTGAAGTAGTGAAACTTTATCAGTTGACATTGGCTGGGACACGTGTTACGTATGCTCAACCACCGACTGCCCCGACGTGCAATGTTCAATGGTGTAGGAGTAGGTTGAAAGAAAGCCAGGGGTGGCCAGACCAAAACATGGTACAAGTCCATAAAGTCACTGACAAGTGGACTGAGTCATGTTGTTAGGTGTAGACTACCTGGTTGGGGACCGCGAGATGATAGCAACCGATGGTTAGAGACCCTGAATGACAAGGCTCAAAATCGTCTGCAATGGCGCAGGTGCACCCACTCTTTGTGTTCTCCAAAATTCTAATCTTCTGAATTCTTCATGTCCCTTTTTTCCTCTTACCAAATTTATTTCACTGTATTATACTCCTTGAATAACATTTTCAAACGCTAATCTTTCCGATTACTGCTTATACTCTTACTATCTCTACCACTATGGGATTTGAATCGACAACTGCATCTCTGTGCTAATGTGGTATGGCAACTCGAACTGATGTACGTACGTACGTACGAAGTTCTACGTTGTTACTGGCTGACTGAAATAAGTTAAGATTCTTTAATTAATTTTGGCGGGTTAGATTTTTATTCCAGCAAAGTCATGAGAAGTTGTCATTATTAAGCGACTCAGTTTAAGACTAACCACCACTCTTAGAGCTGAATAGCTTACACACATTAACAACAATATTATCAATACGAAACACGCTAAAACTGGCCTTATTTCAAAAAATAGTGAGGCGAAAATATAAAACTTACAACTTTGATATTTTGTTTTCTATTCGCTTCGATCAACCGTTTACGCTGGGCTGCAATTCGTTGACGCTCCAAACGTACTATTTCCGACTCATCCACTGTCAAATCTATAAGATTTTCATACATAGATACATTTTCAGGTATATTAACAGTGATTCTTGGATTGAGAATTAAAGGATTGGTAGAGTTATCTCCAGCAGGAAGAGTATTGCAAGCTTCATTTACAATACGTTCCGCTTCTAAGCGTATTTCGTCAGCGGGATGCTTAATGGTAGAGAAAAATACACTGTACTGTTTTTTATTCAAAGGTTAGCATCACGATGAAGTTTAGTAGGCAAAATTAAATTTTTGAACCTACAAACTATTACGCTAGTGTATTATCAGTGAATTAATATTAAAACAGTTTCATAATTCCTAATATGTTTTGATGTCTCCGGAAGAAAGGAGGACAAATTTTTGCCCAAACATGATGTCCTCTACTCAGTAACGTTTTGTAAAGATGATAGTGAAAAAGTGGACGTATGACAACAAATACTGTTTTATCACTCATTTGGTGTGGATTTTAGAAATGATGTATATGATTGGTTAAGTGTCAAGTTTTTTCGATATTCATGCAATATTTAAGGAACACTTTCAGTGTGCGAAGGTAACGAGTGGGAAGAACTATAAATACTCAGGTTTGTAGGAGGATTTCAAGAGGCAGAGAAGATTATGTACACCAAGCCGTACTACAGCATATAAGATGGGTTAGATCTAGTGGGCAAATTGTATAAATAATACTGAGGTCTTAAAACACCTGTTCAGGTACATTGGACATGACAATTCTGTAGGTGATAACATCTCATAATACCAGCTTTCGTTGATTGGTCATACTTTACATATGTTATTCCATATTGTGTATTACTTGTCAACTTTTAGAATGAGTAGAAAAGTGGAGATGTTCAGATTACGACATGGTAAGCTGGAATGGAACAGTTCCTTTAATAAGCACTCACTAAGAATTTTTGGATCGGATCCTAAAAACTATAGATTTCAGTAGGAATTATGCTATGGTTTTCTATAGTATATCTTCATAAACGGTAAAATGCATATGCTAACGCTAAAGGAAATCTATCTTGATTATCTTTAAACTCTGATTGCACTTTTTTAATATATATTATTTCGATTCACTTATTTTTTAGCATGATTTATCACCTTTTTATCTCTTCACAACACATTTCGTTTTGTATAGAACACATGTTTGGTACCCTATTATACCGAGCTTTCTTTCTGGGCAATAATAATGATAATAAATAAGCCAATAGTCAACGAGAAATTATCTTCAAAAAAGAAAGTGAACAGTAACCAAAAATTAAGCTTTTAATATAGGAAAATAAAGAGGCTACATGATTAGAAAACTCAACCAGATTGCCAAAAAATGTAGATTAGTGTCAAGTCTCAGTTCGACTACTATTTGTGGTATCCTCAATAGCATACTTACTATGTGTTACTTTGAACCTTAAACCATGGTAAAGGGACGAGTTAAGACAGTTACAACTGGTCTAATTTTGTCCAATAACCTCCCATTTCATCTTAACATTGTTCAGTTGACAATCTCACTGTTGGTTGGCGATGCTTCAAAAGTAGGGAATCGTAAAGGACCGATCATAATCGCTTGAAACTTTATTCCGGTTGGAATTTTTTACTAGTGAATATTAGAATAAGGCATGTAGTATTCATAGAATATTGATGGACAAGGAAATATTTCATTGGGTTTGTAATTCCCGTAATTAGGCAAACACCAACGGATATTTGCACTAAAACTTAGTCACTGTTTTAGTTTTGAATCTGCCACATACAAAGCACATGAAGTATTTGACAGTTTTCACACAATGTTTAGAAGAATACATTAAACTTGTCTTAATACTTAGCATGAGATTTCTGAACACTGTGTCAATCAAAGAATACCTGGAATGAAAAAACCCAATCATTGAGATATAAGTTACAGATGGATAATTCCTTTGGAGTTATTCAAGCCTGATTAATATTAGTCATACTAATATGGAAGAGCTATTCTAAAGGTACATATGAATCAGAAATAGGCAGAGTGAATCATTTTGTTACCATTTTAACGGTATAAATTAAGTAACATTCTAATCGACCGGAACTATTATACTTATCTAATTACATAAGATTAGCAGGCTACTTTATACAGTTACATTACATTACATTACAACAATAAACTTACCTCTTTGGAAGCACTGTTGACTTTCTTAGACAGGGATTTAATCTCCCGTTCTAAGGCTTTCGTTGTATTGAAGACTGGTTGTGAAAAATCTAGAGTCGCCTCGCCTGGATCGCAAAAAGAAGTTGTATCTGGATCCAGGCAACTTAAATCTGTCAAACTTGACAAGGACAGACTTTCGGAATGCGTAAAAGGATAGCTGGGTAGTTCTCTGGGATCTTGGTCACTTGAACTTTTCGCATCTGAAGGACAGTTTTTGGAACTATATACGGGACCACAGGATGATAACGGCTGCTGAGGGAGGTGATCTGTAGTTTTGAGGAATGAAACACTTTGACAGCTGCCTTTAAGGTGACATTCAGTATTTACAGAAAGATCACACATTTTATTGACATTATTTTCCATCGCCTCAGATACATCATAAAATGTTTGTTTAGAATCAAAATGGCTTTGTGTTGGCGCATTATCTGGTGGGTAACGATTTTGCAATATGGAAATGGAGTCCGAATTGCCAAAAGATGATGTTACATTGGTTAATTCATCGAGGCCAGATTCAGTAAAATCCCAGGACACTTTGTCAGCTAGATGATCAGAGGAATTTGTGATTACATTCGGGCGGAACCTAACCTACATGAATTGTTTCTCAAATTTTTTTCCATCTTTTTACCTGTTTAGATGGACTAAGTAGTTTATCTGACAAATCATTCTTCAGTGCACGACCTGCAAACCTTGGGTATGCATCAACATCTGACATTATTGTAACTGATTGCAACGAGACATTATTGTGTACCGATTATACGGTGAATATTAAAATTTGTTCGTTCTAAAAATATTTAAAAAATATAACTTGCCAAAAGAACAGTGGGGAAAATCAAGATCGAAATTGTATGAATTATGATGTTTTTACTTCAAGGGTATGACTAATTCTAATTGACATCCTAAAATGGATGAATTGAGAACATTCGTGTTTACAATCTAACTGGTCGAATAAAACTAACACAAAAGCTCGAAAGCTATCTCAAGTTTATTTTTATAGATTGGAAAAGGTCAAGTAGTCAGGGAGCTTCGAATACAATCTTAAAAGAGATGTGTTGGTGGAAATATAAAACATATGAGTTATTAAGATTCATCTCAAGTTCCCAAATGACCCACACACGTCAGAATTGAAAACAATCAAGTTTGTAAAGTTGGAGGTTAGTCGGTCATGTACAACATAAGACCAGGTACACATGTGCATAGATACAAGTTATCGTACCCCAGCACAAGATGAAAACTAATTCCACCGAAGCAGTTACTTTAATGGTAGTAATATAACGAAAAGAGGTTGCATATACGTAGATGATACATGGAATAAGAAATTTCCTCGTAGAACGAAACACTTTCAGTCTCACGGTTTAAGGGAATACAGTGTTTACACCTACACCACTGTGGTTGATTCTGAGCCATGACACCCAGAGTCTCCAACCATTGCTTTCGATAGTCTTGCGGACCCCAACCAAGTAGTCTGCATCTACCAACATGGCTAAGACTAGAAGTTAGTGACTTCAAGCACCGATGCCACGTTTTGGTTTGGTCGCCCCTAACTTTCTTAAACCATCTCTAGCACTAGTTAGCATTGCGCAACGTGCTAGTCGGTGGTTGAGCATACGCAACACATGGCCCAACCATATCAGTCGATGAAGATTCATAACCTCATCAACTGATTTACCATCATTCCCTGATACCCTGCGTCTAACCTCACGATTACTTACTAGGTGATTCAAGTAGATGCAAGCGATATTTCTAAGAAATCTGTAATTAAATACTAGTAACTTACGAGTATCTCTTATTCTTAATGGCCACCTTTCGCATCTGTAAAGTAAAACAGAACGAACTGCTGCACAATATACTCGTCTCTTAATTGATAGACGGATATCTCGCGTTCGACTACTTCACTCCCTATCCTTAGTTTGGGTGCTTACGCAGGCCAGTCCTGAAGCAACAACCTGTAGTTAGAGTGGGAGAAACGCATCCCAAACATCTGGGCATTGTTACTCAGTGCTACCAAAAGACTGCATTTTATCAGCGTCTTCATTATACAGGATTATGTCATCTGTGTATCCTAAGTCAATAAGTGGACCTCCTGGTAGGAGATCAATGCACGGAAATTCAGACCACAACGTTATTTTTAGTGATGAAGTTAAACGAAAATGGAGAAAGTGGACAGCCTTGACGGACACCACTTGAGGTTGCAAAATCAGATGACAGTTCGCCATAAGCTCTGACTCGAATGGTAGTGTTCGAGCAAACAGCCTTCTCAAAGTTTCTGTACTTCTGAGGTACATCTTTCAATGACAGACACTTGCACAGAACCTCTCGGTCTACGAAGTCAAATGCTGCTATTAAGTCAAGAAAAACTATCATTGTCGGAAACCGATAAGCATGCCTGTGTTTTAAGACTCGACAACTGGTAAACATATGGTCGATGTAGCCACGATCGGGTTCAAGTTGGTCTGGTTTTCTCGTGTTTGCAGTTCACGAGTATTTGTTAGACGTCCGACAATTATTGAGGTTAATATTTTAGACGTTGTATTGGACAAACTAATCCCTTTATGGTCATAACAAGATGATTTAGATCCTTTCTTATGTATTGGGACAATCAATGATTACGACCAGTCGGATGGGATTACGTTCATTTCTCAGATTTTAGATAAAATATTGGTCAACCTAATCGCCAAAACTGGACCACTATCCTTAAAGACTTCTGGAGTTAATTCAACTGGACCAGCTGCTCATCCTCGTTTCAGATTAGCTATACCCGACCGTTGTTGGTACCTTAACGTGGTGGTCGGGCTTGCCTACGGAGCTGACACGAAAATTACCCACATAAAGGTCGTGTGTGAACGACCTCAAGCAGTTGTTCCTTGGGCAGTGCGGTCACATTCCCAGGTCTCTGAAACCACCTTTAATCTAATTTTTTCAGGTACCTTCAAAAGAACCCCTCCACGATGTGGGCAACCGGGAAGTGATAACCGCCCTCTTAATTCCAACAGCACTCAAGACTAGCTATAGCTTTTTGAACTTCAATTAGAGGCAAGGTTCTATTTCCATTCAGGTAGTTTGGAAATGGTTGATGTTAGAGAAACTACAAACTACTCTGCTCTATAACATTTGGAAACGTTTTTGGAGTTACAAGACGGTTTTGAAGAGTCAGCAGTTTCTGAAATAACAGCTTGTAATACCTAATGTACATAAGTGCAAATTGTTATTGATATTTATGGAATAATCACTGTCATTGCAGACTTTAAATCTATTAAAGTGATATGGTAGCATATACTATTTCTTCAATCCAAAAGCCTGAGTAACATGTCATTCCAGACCTTCTGTGCTTCAGTTTCATTCAGTGATACTAAACTTCACTCTTCACATTCTATTTTCCACTGAAATGGACACTATTTACGATCCTCTTTTCCTCATCTTTTTATTCGCGTTGTGGCTTGGAGGTTGAAACAGTAGCGTCAAATCATATGTCATCAATGTCTGTCTATACTAAAAAAACAAGTATAGAAGCGGAACCTTTTTTGTCCCAATAGAATGGACAGTGCTTGGTTTACTGTAATAAAAGTGTGCTCTGAAAGTTTAGCAAAATTCCTGTTAGGTTTGAGCAAATGCACAAAATAGTGATAGACTGGGACTGGGAAATCGATGAACAGGAATCAGTAGATAAACTATTTACTGCAACTGAACAGTAACTCAATAGCTACGATCGTTCTCCCTATTTCCAAACGTAATTCCACAACATAACCCAATGGATAATTGTTAAATAAGCCATTACAGAGAAGAGAAAGGATGGTAACGAGTTATAAAAGGAGATTGTACTTGTAACTATGATATGGTCTTGTGAATACATGTATGATAAAACAGAAATTGAAGTCTATGAAATACACTTTTACAGTAATCCACGGAAGAATGACCATATAAGGTACGTACAGAAACTTTTCCGAGAAGGGTAGTTGTGACTAGCTCCACAGTCTTTCCTGAGGATGACACACCTTCCAAAATGTGGAGATAACCTGAAACACATACATAGTGTGGAGTCTAGTTAACTGGAGTCGAGTTCGCTCTGAAACGTGTTTGAGGAAATCTAAATATCGACATTTCATCATATTTGAGGTATGGTAACTTGAACCGATGCCCACATGTGGCTTGTCCTACGTTGTACCCGACTGACTGACCTTGGCTTGCCTGTCAACCAATCATAAAACGATACCTAGTTACAGAAGAATAACAGCAAAAACTACTAAAAGCGCAATAATAGGTTTGATCCTGATAATCGGCCCTTAAATGTTGATTTTCCGAAGTAAAAGAACAAAAGTTGAATTTGATAAATAAGCAATCGAGCTAGTGATGTGAAATGGCATAAACACACCATAGTTTTCGACGCCCACTAATGCCTTTGATTGAGCAGAAGGGTTGCATTCATGTATTGGTGGTTAAACCGGTGTCCTGAGACGGTTTTACAAGTTAGTATTAAGGTTTTCTTCACGAACTAGCACCAGCGAAAATAAACTTTCAAATGCGATACTTTTACTACTCCTCCGTTTACAAATTTACGAAACTTGAGATTGGAACTAAAAGTAAGGACCCCAGCTCCCAATCTTGGGGGAAATTTGACCCATTTTTAGGAAGCCGCTGTAGTAAACTTTGGGGGTTTCGTGTAATTTCCCCAAACTTGGGAGCTCGGGGATTAGAGTGAGAGGGTATTATCTAGTCTCACGACGAACTCCTGACCACGTAACACATCACATCAAGTATTTAACCACATATTCTGGCTAAGGATAAGGCATGTTTTATGAATTAGCTCAAGCACCATTTTAAATTCACTTACTGGTGCATTACAAGTATTCTCAATAATACCAAGCATTCAAAAGAAATTTTGCCGACATTTACTCCGTCTGTAGTAGCACAAATTATCGTAATCCTTGATGGGTAACTCAAGACCGTCAGTATATTATAATTTCACCACTAATAGCTTTTATTGCGCAAATCTAGTTGCCTTGATAACTATGTAGCTACAGTTGGCTGTCACAAAAAATGCTCTTAATCCCTGAGTCTGGCACATTGTTCGTTTGAAAAAGTAATAGATTTACTTTCATCTTGAATGCCATACTTACTATGTTGAAGCACTAAAACCCGACCCCCATGACCTTGATGCCGCGTCTAAATGCAAACTCCCGCAATCTGTTTTAGTTAACACAATCAGCCTTATCCTGATTACAAAACGTGTGAATTTTATAAAGCCATTTGGATATGTTGGAAGAATTGCTGATTAATTCAGATAAGAAGCTATGAGGTTGTGAAATCCGCTTCATTGAAGGCATGTCTAATTTTGATACTTGTCTCTGTGTCTGTAAATTCTATGGATTAGTTTAGTCGTACGACAGTTCCTCAAAACATATCAAACCTTTTATATGCTGAAATCACTTTATATTTCTTTCAAACGATCCCACTTGCATCCCTACTTATATCTGCGGTGGTAAATACTTCCCTAAAATATAGTTTCGAATCATTCTACACTGGTATCGACTCCATTAAATCTAATGGGCCTGAAGTTCATCAACGCAGTTGGTCTGTCGAGGATTGACAGAATGACGTGACCTAGCTTACGTCGAAGTCAAACCTTACGGTTAATATCTAATGTGTATTACCCTTTCGTAATGTTCAGGTAGTCTGCCTACTTTATTGAACATTCAACCTAACAGAATTATTACAGAAACATATCAGTAAGCGTAGATATAACAAATACAAAGCGACAACAGTTGCATGGGCTAGTTTATGTGGTGAAATTAATTGATGGACTTTGGCCATGATGAGGACCGGCAAACTGTTCGATATTCAGTAACATGAATGATGGATGAATCGGCTAGATACGATAAACCTACAGGAATATTGTGTACTGAAAGTGCTCCATTATGCGCCCGCATTAGATCACTTTTCGTCACGACGTTCTGGGTATCTTTTTCAATAACTAGTAAGTATAGGTCATATACAGTCTGACTCATAGATCATTGTTCAAACATGTCACCCAATTCCCTCATTCTGGAAGTTCAATTTAATTGGCTTTGCCATCCTTGTATAATAAAAATGTTTGAAAAGTAGCGTTATTAAGCATTCTACATCTGCGATATTCTAACCAATCAGGTTGATTGGTTAAAAATTGACCGAATGCATCTGTAGCGTGGCGTCGAGTCAAGATTCACTATGAACACCGCTACCAAAAAACACGTGCCAAATAAATCAGAAGGCGAGGGTTGAACGTAACCAAATAAATCCATAAAATCCCCGAGAAGCCTAATATCAGAAGGCAGTTAATGGACCAAATCGAGATATATTTGCTGGCGATCTCGTGGCATCGAGAGGATACCGAGATCGTGCCAGGATACAACCTTGGTTACAGAACGTAACCGAAGTCACAATCAAAAGTGTGAGTATAAGAATGGAAGCAAAATATAGCTGTCATTAGCACAGTCAAACAAAAGCACATTAAAACAAGCACTGGTACAGTTGGTTATAATAATAATTGTTTTTATTAAACCAGTCGTGTTCTCGTGATAAATGTGAGTCACTACACATCTTGGCAGTGCTAGGTTACCATAGATCAAATATTCGTATATTCACTTATTTTATGTGACTAATGTATTTCCTATTATGTTTTCACAGAGTGCTGATAAGTTTGTGGGTTTGAAAAAAGATAACCTCACACTCCAACTGTTCTTTCCCACAGTCTGAATAAAGACTCAATCGACCACTAGTCTGGTTTCTTCTACAGATAAAACGAAGGTTATCTGCCGGAACGAAAATATCTCCATATCTGCCAATTTATTAGGTGACTGGTTTTGGTGCTTTTCACAAGTATATCAGACGAAATCATCAGGGTGAGTATTATCCATGTTTGTTTATCCCTTTGACTTGTACGCCCGATGACTGTTATTCTGGCTGCTATTAAACGCAACTCAATTTCGTAAATGTGGCCTTCAGCTTAGCAACCAATCAGAATGTGGCGTGAATTATTATATCCGCCATCTTTGTAAGCAATGGCGGTCGGCTTTTTTAGTTCTGTGCTTTTTTCAGGTATTTCTTTTGTGTAGCTACAGAATATAATGTTTCAGTGTGCTAAAATGCAGAAGTTAATTTAATACTCTGAATGTTGGAGCAAAAGTTTTCCTCATTTGCTTTGTTTTCTGGGTTTTGGCTGCTGTTACTGAAGTCAATGTATTTCTTCAGCCAAGCTGGCTAGTCTTATGTTTTAAAATGGTAATCTGTTTTGTTTTGACTTGTTTTCTAGATACCCAAAGCCGAAGCTCGTTTTTTAGCTAAAATAATTGTTGCTGCCGCCTGTGACTCTAACTGTCCGCATGTTCGTTCCTAACTGTCCTTTATGATGTTATCGGCAAAATGGAAGGAAACAATATCCGGTTTCCAGTTTTCCTAAGTACTACGGACAACACTATCCCACCGACGAGTGAAACTAATACAGAATGCCCAGCAGTAGGGAATATCAGTATTGTTTTCGAAAGGACTCAGACTTCCAATAACTATAGATGAAGTCACTGATACTATTAATCTATTGCAGAGGGTTTGTTATATAAAATATTCCATATAGCAGAAATAGAGGGGTTGTACTCATTACGTTGTGCGTTAAAGCAAGCTTAACATCGAAACGCCGGAAATCTGCTATCAGTGTGTAGTGTATGTTTGCTGTTTTGGCCATAAAAGGAAGCCGACGGGTGAGGATCAGGGAGTAAATGGTAATTAACTGTTACTAAGCTGACTTTTTTATAGATCATATTTCACCACTCGCAAATTTGTGTTTTTTCTTACGGTATGATGTCAACCGGTACCCAATGTGTTCACCCTTACGATGAAAAGTACCTGCAAATTCTCACCTTCATATTCGAGTTATTTTTGAGCAACTGTCTTCCAGTTTGAGTGCTTCGTACGCCATCGGAGTCTAGACTCCTACATTACTCGTAGTTCCAGTATAACTTTCCCATGCAGTAAGTTCAAAGTAGACACTAGTCTTTCTAAATAAGCCTGTTAAGCTAATATCCATATTCTCTATTTCAGTTAATCGATGAAAACATATACCATGTGCATCTGCTGTATACTGCCATTTTACCCCAATTCTAACTGTTATATCTTACTTCTAAAAAATAAAATTGCTATATGCAGCAAATACAGGCTTATTTGTTTTGATGGAGATAGAGGGGTTCATAGGATTTTTAGCAGGACTGTAGTAATATTCTCACTAAAGAGCTAAACAAGTGCAAAGACCAATGTAAGGTACCATACAGGGTGCCCTTGAGTTACTAGTGTTCCATTAGTGCGGGTAGGGGCATTGCTTTCTTATCATATGGCATTTGAATAAGGAGATATAAGATTAGACGCAGGTACGGTTAGGATGTGTAAGGCGTATCCATCCATCAGCTGCCGTGACAACTCATGGTGGTTAGAATAAGTTGTGAGAGGACTGGAGTCTGTAGGTTTCCCAAGAAAATGACGAAGATATGTACTAAATCACTTACATTTACTACATATAAACAAGAGGTCCGTATATCACAAGTTTCTTGCAGCGATTAAGTAGATAAAACAAAGTAGCATTAGATTTAAAAATTTATCCAGGATTTTTCACTAAGAATCGAATATCAAACAAAGGTTTAAACGAAGTTCCCTTTTAAAAGTTGCACTGGTAGTGTAAGGCTGCAGTCTTTGTTGTTTTTTTCCAAACGAAAGAGTAAGAAGTAACTCAGAAAGTACTGGAAGTGGTTGTGAGACTATAATCTGCTGCTAGTTGGGTCCATAGTTCTAAGGGCGAAACAGTTCTTAGGATCTGTGGAGGCTCACTCCTGTTGCATTCTAAATGAGAAAATAGTAATGAATTTAGTCAGAAATGTGGAATAGATAAAAAACCTTGAGTTCATGAATATTAGATCAGATCAGCTACTATTACTTGTGCAAAACATAACATGGACTTAGTACCGTATTGCAATGCTTTTACTATTCCACTCTCATTTAAGTATTCTCATGTATCTGCGTCTAGTTTAACAGGAAGACATACAAGCAGAGTTAGTGTCTGATAAACTAAAAGTCCCAGTTGTCAAAAAGATTCTAAACATTTGTCCACAGCCAGTTGCATTTAATTCAGACACAGAACACTCATCTTCTAAGACTATAAACTGCTCTTCTGCAGGTAAATAAAAGCTCAGACACTTAGCTATACTACTACCGATGTTATTGCTGGGGAAATTGTTTAATGAGAGTGGTCTTGAAACATGAACAGTGTAAGACGTACTGTTTACAAATAAGCACCAAACGTACTTAAAGCTATCTTATAATATATGACAGCAACAGCATCAAAGGCACGTTTTCTTCCTATTTTTAATCAGACTGATTGGAATCAGTATACTCACTAAAAACGGGCAGCTCTACTTACTAAACTGATCTGTTTCGTTACAGGCTTTAAGCACTATACTCAAGTACACTATAATTCCATCGACTAATCTAAATTATGACGGCAACAAAGAATACTAAACTAAACAAGTGTCACAATTATTGTTCCATTTGCACAGACATGTTGCTAAACGGAGTAAAATGAACATAATTCAGCCGATTAAACCAAAACACGAAATATAGGCCATTTGAACTTACCTAACAGAAGACGAAGGATACATATATATTGCCTTCAGACTGAAGACAACAGTCGGTTGTTCATAAAAACATAGTCTACAGTACAACAAACATTTCTTCAGTAACGTCATGCACTGACGGTCTATCTGGAAACAATAAACTATGTGATTAAACTAACTATAACTTGAGATATCATCTAGCGTGCAATGAACGTGCAGTGTAACGCAGTCAGACGTGGCGAATAAAAATTAAAAACAAACCAAAACTAAGAACATAATCTAGTTATTTAATTAAAAATACATTATGAAATGACAAAATCTGTGGTTACTTGAACGCACAGATGAACGTTATTACACTGGGCGATACATTAAGTTTACATGGTTGCGTTGCGGATAAATTCACCGGTTAATCTTGGGGTGAAAAATCAGTAACAATATGCTACCATGTAACTATTACACAATTGTGTGGTATTTCGTACAAGCATGTCAAGTGAACATAATCGTGTATTAATTTCGGAATATAATATCTGAGTATGCGATCACTTTGTAGTGA